TGTCTTACCTATCCTCACCCCTCCCTTGTGTGCTCTCGCTTTTATCTTGTGATCAAAGTCCAATCCCATTGTTGTGTTTGCCCTTGATCTAATGTGCACATATGAGGGAGAACATATGATTTTTGGTCTTTTGGGCCAGGCTAACCTCACTCAGAATGATGTTCTCCAATTCCATCCATTTACCAGCGAATGATAACATTTCGTTCTTCTTCATGGCTGCATAAAATTCCATTGTGTATAGATACCACATTTTCTTAATCCATTCGTCAGTGTGGGGCATCTTGGCTGTTTCCATAACTTGGCTATTGTGAATAGTGCCGCAATAAACATGGGTGTGCAGGTGCCTCTGGAGTAACATGTGTCACAGTCTTTTGGGTATATCCCCAAGAGTGGTATTGCTGGATCAAATGGTAGATCAATGTCTAGCTTTTTATGTAGCCTCCAAATTTTTTTCCAGAGTGGTTGTACTAGTTACATTCCCACCAACAGTGTAAGAGGGTTCCTTTTTCCCGCATCCTCGCCAACACCTGTTGTTGGTGGTGTTGCTGATGATGGCTATTCTAACAGGGGTGAGGTGGAATCTTAGTGTGGTTTTAATTTGCATTTCCTTTATTGCTAGAGATGGTGAGCATTTTTTCATGTGTTTTTTTGGCCATTTGAATTTCTTCTTTTGAGAAAGTTCTGTTTAGTTCACTTGCCCATTTCTTTATTGGTTCATTAGTTTTGGGAGAATTTAGTTTTTTAAGTTCCCTATATATTCTGGTTATCAGTCCTTTGTCTGATGTGTAGCTGGCAAATATTTTCTCCCAGTCTGTGGGTGTTCTCTTCAGTTTAGAGACCATTTCTTTTGATGAACAGAAGCTTTTTAGTTTTATGAAGTCCCATTTATCTATGCTATCTCTTAGTTGCTGTGCTCCTGGGGTTCCGTTGAGAAAGTTCTTACCTATACCTACTAACTCCAGAGTATTTCCTACTCTTTCCTGTATCAACTTTAGAGTTTGTGGTCTGATATTAAGATCCTTGACCCATTTTGAGTTAATCTTGGTATAGGGTGATATACATGGATCTAGTTTCAGTTTTTTGCAGACTGCTAACCAGTTTTCCCAACAGTTTTTGTTGAAGAGGCTGCTATTTCTCCATCGTATATTTTTAGCTCCTTTGTCAAAGACAAGTTGGGTATAGTTGTGTGGCTTCATATCTGGGTCCTCTATTCTGTTCCACTGGTCTTCATGTCTGTTTTTGTCAACTTCATTTTTAATATTCCTTTAGAATAGGATGAATTCTTCCAGCTGTTTTTCTAAAAATGTCCTTATTTCTACTTCATTCCAACTGGATATTTTTCCTGACTAGAAGTTTTTAGATTGACAGTCATTTTTCTTTCAGAAGGCAGCACTTCATTGTTTCTCATGGCTTCTCCTGAGAAGTTATGATGTGCATAGGTGTGGATTGTGGTTTTATTTATCCCACATGGGGTTTGTGGGAGGGCTTCTTGATTTTACTGAATTATATCTTTACTTATATATAGATCTTTGGGAAGGTCTCTGTTCATTTAAATGTGCCACTCTTCTGCCCTTTTGTGATTCTGACTGCCCTTAGGTCAGAAATTCTCACTGCCCCTTTGCCTCTTGCCCTCTCACCTGCTTTCTGTCCTTCTGACTGCTCCCCCTTCTCTTCTCAGTTATGTTTAATCTGCTCTTAAACTAGTCCACTGAATTTGTCTCAAATTCTTGTTATTTTTCAGTTCTAGAATTTCCAACTTGCTGTTTCTTGTATTTGTGCTCTCCAGAACTCATGTTTAAACTTGATTTTGATTGTAGTAGTATGAAGGGTGGGGCCTTTAAGAAGTGTAGGTCACAAGAGCTGTACTGTCAGGGGAAGGCTTAATGTCCTTTTTAGGACTTTTGGAGTGGTTCTCGCTTGCCCTCTCTCTGCCCTTCTGCCACATGGCATGAAATAGCAGGAAAGCCCTCACCAGACACTGGGCCTCCCAAGCTCCAGAACCAAGAGAAATAAATTCCTTTTCTTTATGAATTACCAGTGTGTGATATTCTGCTCTAGCAGCACAGAACACACTGAGACAGACTACCTTGCCCCTGGGGCCTTTTGCTAATCCCAGAGACTGTGTCTGAGTAGTTGGCAATTAGATGGCTGTGTGAAGTCACACCAGGGGCTGGGATATGACCCAACGTAGGGTGGGAGTTGCTGGTGAATCTCCTTTGTTTTATTTGGGTGGGGACCCTAAATAGCTGTATCCCAATGAGATGAAATTTTATGCTTTAATAGAATTCTTAAAAAAAATTAAAAAGCACCATTTGCTGTGGGCTGTTTACTGTCTAGTCCTCAGTCACTCAGTCATCACATGGACAAGCAAGCGTGGTTCTTCATCAGACACTAGAAACCCCAACTTCTTGATGCCGGAGCTGATGTAGGACACTGCAGTCACCTTGAGTCTGGAGTTAGAAGCCAAAGGAGCCTGATATTAAAACAGTAAGAGGCCCATAGAGCTGACCGAGCAGATGGCAGCTGGAGTAAGAACCAGGATCACAACTCTACGTGACAGGCAGGCAGCAGAGCGCCAACACCTAACCCACAGCCCTGGTCCCCCGAGGCCGAAGGACAGGACATTGTGTCAAAAATGACATATTAAGATTATTTAGGTCCGGGCATGGTGGATTAGGCAGAAGGATGCCAAGTTTGAAGCCAGCCTGGGCTAAAGAGGGAGTCCCTGTCTCAAAAAAAAAAAAGAAAGAAAAATTTCAGTGTCTAAAAGTCTCCTCCCACTGCACATTTGTCTTGTATGTACCTCACTGGGCTCCTGGGGACTCACTGAGTGCTGTGAACAACATGACACTGTTCCTATGTTCTCTCCTCGCCATCTTCCATCTTTCTAGCTCCTGTGAGTTCCTTCCAGACTCTAGAGGGAATTGTGTGTGCAGTGTACTTTCTAGGCTTCACCTTCAGGACCTCTCCTTCCCTTTCCTCTCTCCTTTGTCCTCCAGCCATTTTGTCTGCACTACTGAATGGTGCAGCCCTGAAGCAAGATTGCTGGTCACACATCCTATGACACCAGCCCCAGGGAGTGGCTGGGGGACCAGAGTTAGAACTCGAAAGCTTTCAGCAAAGTGCCTTGAACTCTTGACAGGAAGTGTGTTGAAAGGGACACACTCTTTTAAAAATAAGGGCCAAGGCAGATCCTTTGTATTGCAATGTCTCTATCATGGGTAAAATTAGATGCTGACTTCCTTCTGTCACACACGATACCCGTTGCTTCATTTTATACATTTTGTGTAAAATGAAAATATTTCTAAGCAAAATACTCAAAGTTAACACAGCATAATTCAAGCTTATCACTTAAATTTATTGCTGTGTGATAAATCTTTCCCCTAAATCAGGAAGAAAGCCCTGTGGCTTTGCAGAGCTGAGACAGTGATGCGGGCAGTCCTAGGTGGTGGGACTTCTCTTTAGCTTGGAGCTTTTTAGACCAGCGAGCCCCTGTGAGGGTAAGGGAGAAAGAGTCAGAGGGAAGTCCCTGAGCCCAGGGTGTGGGGCACTTAGGATCCAGGAGGCCTGGGGAAGACCTTGGGAGTTTCTCAGTCAGGGCTTCCTTGGCAGTTTGCCGTCATGAAGATGACTGGACTTTTGGGGGCCACTCAGGGCCTCATGCTTGCTAGGCAGGCATTCTACCACTTGAGCCACTCAACCAGCCCCACATTTCCTTCCATCACATGAACTGACAGCCCTGCAGCCCACTGATATCTCATGGCCCTGCCCACCCTAGCCTCAGGACAATCCTGTGGTCCTGCCAGAGACTCAGCTGCTTCAACTGACCCTTAACTTTTCCCTAAAGAAAGAAAACCGTAAATCATTTTGCCATGTTAGGAAATCGCATAATTGCTACCTGAAATAACAATCAAGTCATTCCACCTGCAGATCGACTCTCCCCCCAAAGCTGGACTGAAAAGTTGTTGCTGATGGGAGAAGCCCCATCCACACAATCCCAGCATGGGCATCCCCAACCATTTCTGGAAGGGAAAGGCCTTCCCATAGTCACCTGGCCTCAGGGGCTCCAGTTTCATTCTTTCCAGATGAGGAAGCCCTGGTCAAGAGCTTCCCCAAGAACCTGGGGAAGGATGGCTCAGCTTGCCTTCTCTGTGGAGAACTGAGATGCTTACAATGGCTTTTATAGCACATGGGGTGACTGGTGATATAATGGACCAGAAGCATGGGGGGGAGGTCAAAAGGCTGGTCCAGATGGACTAATGGGTGACTGCAGGGTACCCAGCTGCTTAGCCTTGTTTGCATTACATGCTTCCTATACAGAAAGCCTGTTTGAGAATGAAACTCAAGATCTTCATCCCAGGCAGGGGCTGGCCAGGGACACAGTGCATGACCTGAAAGGATGCTCTCATCGGGTCTCAGTCCTCACTGCTCTGCTCAGTGCAGAGCACTTCTTCCTTTAGGGAAGAAGCCCCTTTTCAGCTAGGGACCAAACATACAGGTCTCACAAGCCTCAATGCATTTTAAAGTGAGAAACAGAAAAACATATTTCTCATGTCACATGGAATATGGCATCAATAAGTTGGTCTCCTTTTGCTCCCATCAGCCTGGCTGAAGGAAAAACACTGATTTCAAAAGTAAGCTTTTCCTTTCCCAATGATTAACACAAAGTAGACTAACTTAATTTGTGCTAGACTCTGAATGAATTCCAACTATAGCTCAGAGGCCAAAACCCAGAAAAAGAGCAATTTCTTCTTTGAGGGGAAGATAAAGAGACTTAACAGGTTTAGTGTCAGGCTGCTCAGGCCTAGTGTTCATGGAATTGTGGTTGCTGGGAGGCAAACACACACACACATACACACATGCATGCACTCTGCACACATGACCAAAATAAAACTCTTAAACAGGCAAAAACAATTGTGTGTACTGTTGGTATATTTTGTGCCTAAGGTGTCAGGATCCTGGGAACACTAGATTTTTTGGTTTAGTAATAAAATTGCATGTTGAGTAGCAGGTTTTTACATTTATTATTGTGTACACCCTCCTTTGCACTAAAATCTAAGCTGAGTGATGTACTGCCAACCAGCACTGATCTCCAAATCAAAGTGTGTGAGGGAACACACTTGTGTGAAATCTCTCTGATATAAGATGCACTGGGCAACTTGTCTGCTTCTGATTCCCAGAAATAAGATAACTAGCAGGGCTGCATGGCTGGAGGGTGGGCATGGACACGTCCTGCCTCAGTCGGAATCCATCGTGAACAGTTGGATGTCCTGTGGGTTCCAGTACAGGCCTACCGCTGAGTTGTAAACCAAAGACCAAACATAGGGGATGAAAAACTCCTCAGGCTGCTCTTCTTCCACGTATTTGAATTTCAATTCTGGAAATTTCTGCAACAAGAACAAAATGATTTTATCATTTCAGTGTTCCATGCACAGCCAAAACAAAGGAGTTTGTAAGTGGTAGTGCACGCAGGGAGCCACGACCCCTATTCAGTCACTGGCCGAGAGGTAGAGGCTATTAAAATACTTTTCCCAAGAGAATCTAAATTACCTATGGCCAGAGTTAACAACAAATGAGGGCCTGATTGGTCAATGTCAGTTTGACAGTTTTCTGAGTAGGGACCCAAATGAGCAGAGGTAAGATGAAACATGTCACAACTAAGCAATGGCCCCTGCTGGGGTGGCAAGCAAGGGTTCAGGCAAAAACCCTATAGAGTTCAATGTCTGGACTTACGGAACACACAAGCCTCTTCAACTATCAGCGTGCCCATCCACTCTTTCTCATTGCAGCAAGTTAAGTGCAGGTGCTGCTGCTCCTGACTGCAGCTCAGAGAACCACTCACTGGGCTGTGCATGTCACTCTGACGGACAAAGTATGGTCAGGTGAGGCAGTGGATGTGGTGCTGCTCCAGAACTTGCTAACATGTGATGGATTTCAATTAGGCCTCCCAGCTTTTTACTCCCTTGTCATTCACCATGAGGAAAGTCTCCTGAATCTTTCCCACACTGGCCAGACTTCTCAAGGGACATCAAACCCTCCCAGTAGCTGGCAATCCCATAGCATCCTGATGAGCTCCGTCTACCCACAGGTGGTGCTGCTTCTGACCTGGCATGAGGCTCTCAGGTATGGAGAGATGAGATTAAGGTGCTTGGAGGTGGTGGCAAGACTTTGTTGTGGAAGGAGGAGTCATTTAAGTACCAATGCTATGACATTCTTTGTGAAAAATCTGCATCTATAGCAACAGGGTATAGCCAGAAATTATCACCAACCAGTGCTGCTCATGCAACATAACAGAGAAGCTTCCCAACCAGTGTCAGGTCAGTCATCACAATGCCCTGCTGAGGCCAAATCACCCCAACACCAAAAGGGACAGCCAGGCTCAGCAGTGTATGGTTCAACAGCATGTGGTCTGCTGAGTGGAATCAGGCTGACTGGGCAAAATGACATGGCCAAGTTCTATCCGCCTTACTGCTTTGTCCTTAAACTTGGTTCTCTTGGGTACCATGAAACTCTTCAGGGTTAGTCCTGAGCCTTTTTGCCACAGGGGATAGAACTCAGCACCTGCTGGTTCATAGAAAATAAATACAAAGTCACATGATGTTAGTAATCAAGAAAGGATGGGGAACTATTTGAAGTTTACCCCATGAGACTGGAGCTGACAGTTGCAGTTCTTAGAGTGGCCTCAGACTTCAAAAAAGCCTTCTCTTAATGAAGAGAGAAGTGAAGGTCAGGTGGGGGCAGAGGGGGAGGCTTAAGAAGGTCAGCATCCCTGTACTACCTCTTTTGGTTGGACTAATATCCTACATTCCTATACGGCATTGTAGCCATTAAAATGTACTTCTTGTAAGAAATAAAAATGACCAAAGATGTGAGGCTTTTTCTTCATCCAGTGACATATTTGGGGGTTTTCCTGTAAAGGCCTTGGGAGGGGATAAAAAGTAACATGTGAAATTAAGTCTGTCTGTACATCTGAGGAAGTTGGAATGGGAAATAATAGGACAAAGTGTGTGGGGGGAATTAATGCTTTAAACTGCTCTCCAAGTGAGTTACAGAGGCCTAGGGGAGAATTAGTAATGAATTTATGAGTGGTACCAAGTTTACCTATCTTTGGGGCTTTGGAACATTCTGGTGACTCTCTAGTTAGAAAGAGTAATGAGTTGAAGATTTCCCTGAAATCCTGCAGAGGTTGGACTCCCAGATGATCTCCCAACTGCTTAAAAACCAGTGGAAATGCCTCTAGGTTTACGTCAAAACTATAATCCACCTAGCCCTCTATGAAGGCACAAGTTGGACCCCTGCCCTCTAATCTGAAGTAAACGCTTGGCCAGTAACAGCTATGGATTTCAGATGTTGAAAGCACAGTCTCAGTGCAAGGTGATGTTCAGAATGGCAAGAACATCCTGTGCACAGTATATAACAGTATATAGGGATCGCATAAGATAGTGTAAACTTTGTCAATAGAAGACGTGCAGATTTTATTATGAAGTTATTCTTCAAGCTGGTCAATGATTATTTCTATAGAAGTTCTCAATTCTGAGATTATAGCTAAACTATTTATAGCTAACATAATTGATTATTTTTAGCAGGCATATTCAAATACTTCAAATAGTTACTCATTTAATCTTTGAAACTAAAATAGGAAGCTACTTTGAGTTTTAGCCCCTTTCCTTCCCTTCCTTTCCTTCCTTTCTCTCTTCCTCCTTTCCTCCCTCCCTCCCTTCTTTCCTCCCTCTTTCCTTTCCTTCCACAGATATTTCCTGAGGATGAAACTAAAAATACAGCTGTGACTAAGACACACCCAGACCTAGCACTTAAAAGGTAAAAGTACATCCTTATTAGCTGGGGGACTTTGGCCCTTTGGACAAGTCTCCTCCTTTGCTCAGATTCAGGTTCTTAGAAGATAAAGATTTTGAATTTAACTGTCCTGCTTACTTAACTGCTGTAGTGACAATCAGCTGAGACAAGCCGTGTGATTAGGTAAGGGGCTTTGGATAGTACCTAGCTCAGAGTAAGCATTTAATAAATGTTGGTTACTATTACTGACATTAAATGGTATGGAAATGTGAGGTAGTTCACTAACCAAATCCAGAGACTAGGAGTGCTGTGACTGGTCTGCTCCCAAGCTTGTTTCTGTCATGCCTCCCAAATGGACACTTGTCACTCCCAACTCTATTTCCTGGTGTTTTTTTTTTTTTTGTCAAATGCATAGAAACAAAGTTTCCATGTCTTTCAAGGAATAGCAATAGCTTCAAACCTTTCTTCAATGTCCCCCCAACCAACAGTCACTTCACCTCCATGCTTGAGTGTTGTCCTCATTGTGAAATGCAAGGGCCTGTTCTCTTGGCAGTTCAGTCTGGGGTTAGGAGACAAAGCTGGGTGGTTTATGGCAAATTGTGGCATTTTCTAGAGGTTGGGTTTCTCACTTAGTGTAAAATGAGGGACCTCTGACTGATTCCTTGCCTCTGGGACCCAATGCAAACCTGAAGTCAAGCAGTTGCTGATTTCAATGCAGCTGGTCTTCACAGTGTGCAATGTAAGTATCCAGGGGTTATGGAGCTGCGCTGGGTGTTGACAAAAGATGGTCTCAAAGGCTAATGCTCCCAACTGCTTATAACCAAGACCAATGTGAAGCTGTTGTTGAGCTGCTCTGTGGCTTGAGAGCTCGCAGCTAAGTGGACTATGGTTCTAGGCTCAGGTCTTGCCTGTGCTGGCTAGTTAAGGCCTGATCCTTTCCAGACAAGGTTCCCAAACTATCTTCTGAGTGTATACTATCAGTCCCAGGGGAACCACGGAGCAAACAGAAGCAGAACAGCATGAATGCACTGCCACTGCTGGAAAATTGCTTGGACACGTGCACAGCGCATGTGCATGACCCTGAATCCACAGCACAACCTCCCTGGCCCCTTGAGTGGACAACTGAGTTGAGAGCTATTACTTCCTAGGTTGTTTGCTGGAAAATTTTCACCAGCAATTACAGGATTCAGAAAGCAAGAAAAAAAGAAGGGTTTGTTTTCCAGATTGGCTATAAAAGGCTAACATTTAAAATCACAAGGCCACAAGGTTCCTTTCTACTGCAATGAGTTAGTTGTTTGTAAGATGCTTTGAAAGGGTGAATAATGGGCATAAATCCTAAGAAGTTTCAAAATACTATTCAGCTAACATGAGGAATGGTAATGTGGCTGCTTCATGAGCTGGGTGCGAGCTGCCTTTCAAGGCCATGGAGTGGCCTTCTGTTTCTCTAGCTATGGATTTGAACAGACATCCTTAAAGCCATGTGCTCCTCTGAGAAATCTGAAGAGCCAAGGAAAAGAAAGACAAAAGGTTTTATTTAGCACTAAGGACACCAGGGACACATTTTGTCAGGACTCAGTCCAAGAAATGTCAGGTCTGAAAGTCAAATCAACAACCCAGAAAATGTTACCCTTCCTTTTAGGTTCCTTTGCAAGCCCATGGAGAAAACAATGCCATCCTATGGGACTGAGGGGAGTCCAGCCTCCTCATTCCAGAGTATTCTCATCCCTGACACAGCCAACAGATACCACCTGGCAGCCTAGGGCCCAACTGCAGGCCACACGAGCACTCACAGGCTCTCCTAGTTCTGCTATTCATCCAGGGCTTCTCCACCTACACCTTCCTACTGCACTTCTTAGAAAAACAGTGGGTTCCCACAAGGACTATGCGCTGAGGACCTCTAGCCTTTGGGAAGGTAGGGGAGGTGCTTAAGAAGGAGGAGATCCTGTTTGGCCAGTTAGGACAGGAACTTGTCTGGCACTGGCCAGCACAAAACAGGAGCCTGGGTACCTTAGCCCAGGTGGCTCTGGTGGGAGCCTTAGCTTTCAGTTCTTTCTGAGATCCTTGTCCTGTGACTCAGTCCAATAAGGGGAAAAAAACCCATCTCTGAAGAGTGGAGTTTGGTCTCAGTCCAAAGCTACTTACAACAATCCTGTTGTTTTGATTTTTGGAGCCAGAGGTAATGCTAGACTCTCAAGTGTGGCCGGAACGTTTTTATCAGCTCCAGTGAATCAACCTACCACAGTGGGACATCCGGACGCCCAGAGCAGAGACAAAGCAGAGGTCTGATTTGGATACAACAAGCAGACAAAAAGCCTACCGTCTGTCTCCACTGTCAGTCATGTGATTTGGTGAAAACCCACAGGAAGTTCAGTGAGCAGATGTAGGGCACAACTGCAATAATTTTATTACCACAAAAGTTCAATGGAGATTTCTAGCTTCCACCTAAAGATTATACAGATAGCATCAGAAACTCTAGCAAGCACCTGGCATGGCTCCAGAAAGTTTAATATAATTTAAAGTCAAATAGCTATATAGCACATTAAATTGTTTTTCAGTCTATAGTAGGCCAGTAAGAAGAAAAGTAGAGGGTGAC